AGAAAAAACAAAAGTCAGGGCACTGCATTCGTCATGCCTTCATGGTTTATAAACCAGATGTAAAATGATTGGTTTGCAAGCTCGTATTTAATACAAATAATACAGAACCAACTCCTTCTGGAGGGCTGCTTCGAAATCGCATCTTTTTTTTTTCTTTTTGTTTTTTAATCAGTCTTTTAAAACTAAGCTATCCGAACTACATAACAGTTATGTATATATATATATATTTTAAACCCTACAAAGACTTTAAACAGCTGTTGATAAAAATTTTGGTAGAATCATGAGGTTCTTCTCTCATCTACATATTTAAAAGGAGAAATTGAAATAAGAATGGGTCAAATATTGACCAATGAACTCGATAAACATCAACTAATGTAGGCACATGGCACAAAATGAAAAGAGTACAAAACAGAACCTTCCAAAGCAGGGGGCGAGAAAAAGAAACGCAAAACAGAACACGAAACCAACCAACCGGGGCTGACGACGCTAAAGCTATTCTAAAGACTTGGTGACGAGGGACAGCGGCTGGGGCTGGGGCTGGGTCCCGGCCAGAGAGTTGTGGGAATGTAAGGAAGATGTTGACGGCTGTGCAAGTGATGAGGAGGGGACGATGGGAGGCTGCAGAGCGGCGGGAGGCAGGTCCAGGGCCCCGTTGGGACAGAGGGCAGAGGCCTTGCCATGGGTGGCCTCGGCAAGCAGGAGAGCGGGCGGCGGAGGCATCATGGAGAGGTGGGCCAGGGGATCGGGCTTCAGGGACAGCGAGAGAGGCTGGGTCTGCTCAGTCTGTGACTTGGCGTCGCGCGGAGGGGAGCCTAGCAGGTGGGGGGAGGGAGGAGGCGAATCTAGTAAGCTTCCATCTGAAGAGGGTGGGCTGAGGCAGCTGCCTTCACCTTGTATGTAGCGAACGCACTTTTTTTTTCTCCTAGAAACAGGGGAAGAGAGCGATCTGTGAATCAAGGGCCAAGATGCCGAGGGAGAGAGTTATGTACTGCTCATGGCCAGGTGGAAGGCACTAACGGGTCCCACGGACACGGCACGCCCGGAGGCCAGAGGACCATTAAAGTTCACCGGGGTGCATCGCTCACATACCCAGGACCCCCACCTGGGCCTGTCCCAGCAGCACTGTGTAAGAGTCCAGAAGGCCCTGCCTGCTCCCCACCCCTGCCCAGATCCAAGCGAGCCACCTGCAGAAAGTGGCTTTGTCCATATTCAGGTGAACTGAAAAGCTTGCTATTTCCCCTTTGGGTTAGACATTCTTACTTTCCCATCACGCCTCTTGTGCCACCCCCCCATTCCCATTTCCACCCCCACCCCCAGTGACATGTGAATGTGTGTGTGTGTTCAGTTTAAAAGAGAAAGACAGAGCTCCTTCCCAGCCGCCTCATATCGATAGGAAACTCAAAATGCTGACTGCTGAGCCCACATAGCTGAAGGCAGCGCTAGCAAGAGGCTTAAAGGTTTTAACACACCACCACCACCATGAGGCTGCTGGCGCCCAGAGAGCTTTCGGGCTTGTCTGTTAAGAACCACACCAAATCAAGAGAGGTCAGAGTCAGGTGAGGAGGGAGGGGGAACCAAAGTAAAACAAAATAAACTAAAAAAACAAAAACAAAAACAAAACAAAACAAAACAAAAACAAAAAGAACCACCAAAAACAGGTAGAAGAGGATAAACGAAGGTAGGGGAGGGGGAAGAATAAGAAAAACAGAAAATGATCCAAAGGAACAAGAATAACTGGTTGTATGGCCTGCAGGTTGTGGATTAAAGATTCAAACTTATTAAGATTCAAAATCAAACTTGATTTTTTGTTTGTTTGTTTTTGTTTTTTAAAGAGTTGGGGCTTTCCCCTCCCCACCCCAGAGTGAGAAGGTCGGAAGGAGAGACAGTGAGGATGGGATGGAGGGGCATCGTGCCCTTGTCAATATGCGGAGGCCAGCAAAGGGAGGGCGCGGCACAAGCTCGTCACAGAGAAGTGACGACAAAGACGTGCCAGGGAATCACAGCATGGACCTTCCTGGGTTGGGGTTATCAACAACTAGTGTTTAAACCAGAAAGACTAATTCTACTTGCACCAAAACCAGAATCGCCCCTCTTCACTAGCCATTTATAGAAGAAACAGGAATGAGGATTTCAGCGCCTTTTTTTGCTTATCATCAAAGGATGAGGTCAGGGGAAATCAACTCAAGAAATTGAGCATGTGACTTCGAAGCTTTTCTTACCATTAATCCCAGTCTGATGGGATCGTGTTTGGTAGGAAAGGTGATCCTGGGGGATCAACCACACTAATGCTATAAAAATAATGCAGATCTGGGAAATGTGCTCATCTAAGGACCCTAAGAATTGAGCCAGAACCGTGGCTGATAACACTCCACCTCGAACAAGCAAGTGAACCCTGGCCACTTTCTGCCCCTGGAGAGTAACCGCACTGCTGCCTGCTTGAGGGCAACCACTGTCAGACAACGTCCCCGGCTTTTGCAAGGAAGGGCTGTGTTGAGTTCCTCCGCTTGGTCTGTACCCAGAGCTGTCTAATCATGCCCCTCAGTGCATGGGGTGTGGACTCAGCCAGATGGCAGGAAGGCAGGGAAGGAGGGGAGGGGTGGAAGGGAGCATGCTCAGTCCTCCATACTTTCCAGAGGTGGAGACCCAATGGGGCTGCTGGCCTCAGGGCCTGTCTGTGCCCTCTGGATCAGAAGGAACTCTTGAGGGAGCGAGTACAGCCTTCTTTCACCCTCTGTTTGGCAAGGTTCCTTGTTCTCCCTGGGATAGGTCGAAATAGACTATGGGTTCTCCTCCCATCCCAGAAACCAAGATAAATAATTAAGCCTCTCAGAGTTTTAAACCACCTTAGCCTGCAGATCAAAACATGCTCAAAAAACTAAGATGTCCATGCATTGTAAAAATGAGAGAAGGAACAAAGGGGGGAGGGGAGGGCATAAGCAAAACTGAGAAAGCAACAGAGAAAATGAGAGAGAAAAGGAAAGGGAGAAAGCGTGAGGGGAGGGGACGACCGGGAGGACACAGGGACGGCATCGAGCAGCACTCCATGCTGTGTTAGGGCAGAGTGAAAAGACAGGGAAGCACTTGGTGGGCTCAAAACAGAATCGTGTTAAAATGTCCTCCTCAGGTGTTAAATAAACCCCAAACCCTGTGTGGCAAGCTAGGAGCCCTGATTGGCTAGGCCCATTTCCGGTGCCTTCCTCATCTCGCCAGCCCCTGACGAGGAAGTTCCCAGACCATGAGGATGAGGGGGCATTCTGAACACAGCCCATGAAGACTCTGATGGGAGACGATGCTCATTCTAATAGGTGGCCGACCGGGAGGCAGTGGGAACACATTCTGACAAGTCAGAAAATGCCTCGGTTTGTGGACGCTACTATTTTTTTCGGCACATTTTGTCTGATTTGATTTTAGCATCAAGCCAGACATCGATAGCCTTGGCAAAGTTATTAGGTTGTCAGAAAAGTCATGACATATTTTTCTAGGTTTTTTCTATGGAAAAATGAGTCATGACTTTCCCAACAATCCAATAAAAGGACAAATTATGGGAAAAAGGGGGGGGAGGGGCGAACTGCTGCACAAGATCTACACTCCTACCCATTTCCCTACCTAGGCTCCACTCCAGAGGGGTGACCACTTACAAGTTCAGCTTCAGCTTCTTAGATATTTATTCTGCAAGGAAACTAAGGGGTCTTTCTGATCCTGTTTTGGAATGATACCCTCAAAAGACAGCAGAAACGCATTTGCTAATGTACGGTGGTATGAAACACGTACCCCACAGAAGAAAAATGGCTGCCGGGCCATTTTTCTAAGGGTGCCGTGGCAGGAGAGTAAACTAGGGAATGATGAGGGCCTGTTGAACTCTGCCACCTATGCCTGGGGGCCTCTTGGCACCATCACCAACAGAGACGCTGCCATGCTGATAACCCCTCAGAGCTACATTGTGGAAAATCATGCTGCTAAACCCAAAGCAGCTACAATGGTTCTGGGCTGGCAGGTTTGTGAGAGGAGGGGAGAGAGATTCAAAAACTCTGGTCTCTGAGGAAGATAGCACTCAGTCTTTAAGCCAAATGTGGGCTGTGTCTGAGAAAGGGACATCTGGCCCTGTCAGTAATAGCTTCCAGGGGAAAAAACGAAAAAGAAAAAAA